TAAAAATTTGGAGTCGCTCTGATTCGTTGAAGTATTTTTTACATGCCTTTAAAGGTGATTTAATAGGAATTTTACCAAGTTTTTGTGTATCAGCGTGGGAAAAAGTTCATAATTTTATTTCAGAACCTCAGATTGACTCCCAATTTGTTTTATTTGATAAAAATACTCTAATTAATACGTGGTAAAAATTTGAAGTCGCTCTGATTCCTTGAAGTATTTTTCACATTCCTTCAAAGGTGATTAACAGAAATATTATCAAGTTTTTGTGTGGTAACGTGGAAAAAAGTTCATAATTCTATTTCTGAGCTTCAAATTGACTCCAGATTTGTTTTATTTAATGAAAAAACACTAGTTCATAAACCGTAAAAATTTGGAGTCGCTCTGATTCGTTGAAGTATTTTTCACATGCCTTTAAAGGTGATTTAATAGGAATTTTACCAAGTTTTTGTGTATCAGCGGGGGAAAAAGTTCATAATTCTATTTCTGAGCTTCAAAATGACTCCAGATTTGTTTTATTTGATGAAAAAACTCTAATTCATAAACCGTAAAAATTTGAAGTCGCTTCGATTTCTTGAAGTATTTTTCACATGCCTTTAAAGATGATTTAATAGGAATTTTACCAAGTTTTTTTGTATCAATGTGGGAAAAACTTCATAATTCTATTTCTGAGCCTCAGATTGACTCCCAATTTGTTTTATTTGATAAAAATACTCTAATTAATACGTGGGAAAAATTTGAAGTCGCTCTAATTCCTTGAAGTATTTTTCACATTCCTTCGAAGGTAATTAACAGGGATATTATCAAGTTTTTGTGTATTAACGTGGAAAAAAGTTCATAATTCTATTTCTGAGCCTCAGATTGACTCCCAATTTGTTTTATTTGATAAAAATACTCTAATTAATACGTGGGAAAAATTTGAAGTCGCTCTGATTCCTTGAAGTATTTTTCACATTCCTTCGAAGGTAATTAACAGGGATATTATCAAGTTTTTGTGTATTAACGTGGAAAAAAGTTCATAATTCTATTTCTGAGCCTCAGATTGACTCCCAATTTGTTTTATTTGATAAAAATACTCTAATTAATACGTGGGAAAAATTTGAAGTCGCTCTGATTCCTTGAAGTATTTTTCACATTCCTTCGAAGGTAATTAACAGGGATATTATCAAGTTTTTGTGTATTAACGTGGAAAAAAGTTCATAATTCTATTTCTGAGCCTCAGATTGACTCCCAATTTGTTTTATTTGATAAAAATACTCTAATTAATACGTGGGAAAAATTTGAAGTCGCTCTGATTCCTTGAAGTATTTTTCACATTCCTTCGAAGGTAATTAACAGGGATATTATCAAGTTTTTGTGTATTAACGTGGAAAAAAGTTCATAATTCTATTTCTGAGCCTCAGATTGACTCCCAATTTGTTTTATTTGATAAAAATACTCTAATTAATACGTGGGAAAAATTTGAAGTCGCTCTGATTCCTTGAAGTATTTTTCACATTCCTTCGAAGGTGATTAACAGAAATATTATCAAGTTTTTGTGTGGTAACGTGGAAAAAAGTTCATAATTCTATTTCTGAGCCTCAGATTGACTCTCAATTTGTTTTATACGGTAAAAAAATGCTAATTAATAAATCGTTAAAAATTGAAGTCTTTCTGAGTTTTTGAAGTATTTTTCACATGCCTTTAAAGGTAATTTAATAGGAATTTTGCCAAGTTTTTTTGTATCAACGTGGGAAAAACTTCATAATTCTATTTCTGAGTCTCAGATTGACTCCCAATTTGATTTATTTGATAAAAATACTGTAATTAATACGCGGGAAAAATTTGAAGTCGCTCTGATTTCTTGAAGTACTTTTCACATGCCTTCAAAGGTGATTTATAAGGGATTTTACCAAGATTTTTTGCATCAACGTGGCAAAAACTTCCTAATTCTGTCTCTGAGCATCAGATTGACTACCAATTTGTTTTATTTGACAAAAAGACTAAAAATCAATAAATCGTAAAAATTTGAAGCTGCTCTGATTTTTTGAAGTATTTTTCACAAGCTTTCAAAGGTGATTTAATACTAAAAAATACATAAAATTTCTGATAAAATCACCTTTGATAGCTTTTGAAAAATATTTCAAACACTCTAGAATGACTTTTTTTTGAAGAACCGAAACGAATCAAAAATTTGATTCTCATCGGCTTTTGATTCGCTGGAAAATTTTTCTAAGACGATGATTTCGAAAATGATGTTACATCTTAATCAATTGATAATATTGAAAATAAAATGGAGAAACAGGCAGAGAAAATGAAGTTTTTCATGAAAATCACCTTTTTGAGGAAAAACTAAACTAAAAAAATGTTGTCTATTTCAGGTTGTTCAATTTTTGTTTCTCCTAGTTTTCCAAGAACAAGCTTTTACATGATTCTCGATTAAATGTTTCCATACATAAAGCGCGTAGTTTGTAATTCCAGTAAGTTCGTGACAAACATTACTTAATACATCCAAACTTCTTGTTCATTTATTGAAATAGTGAATCTTGAATCGCCCTATAAATTTAAGATCGTAGTTTGTAATTCCAGTAAGTTCCTGGCAAACGTAACTTGGTACAACATCCAAACTTCATTTATTGAAATATTGAATCTTGAATCACCCTGTAGATTTAAGATTTCACAATGAGACAAAAAAAAAATCGATATAGAGCTTTTAATACTTTGCAGCCTTGAATTATTTATCTAAAAATTATGTAATGGCAAACTTTAAAGGTTCGAAAATCTTTTATAAATGCAGCTTTAACTGGTGGTGCAAGCAACAGCTGGCTTTTTCACGTTCTGCATCTGTTTTCAACCTCCCAACGAACAAATTTTATACTTATTGGGACCCATGAAAAATCCACACTAATATAAATTGCGGCACGTGTTTTAATATCGGAGCCTTGAAAATTTTTGTTATGTAATAATTATTTTATAGCAAAAATGTATTTTTAGCATTTTTGTCTAATAATGTCCTCTTTTCACCCCTGGTTGCAACCTGCGCTAATGCACACACACAACCACCTGGCCCTTTTTATATTCAGTGTAACGTAAGCCCTGGTTCTTCAACCCATGCGACCAGGTGCAACAAAAGTTAGATTTTTTTTCCTCCCATATACCTACTGTCTACCAGCTGACAATGTATTAAAAAAATCATCGATGAATTTGATTATAAATTTCATTTAAAATTATGAAGGTGTACACGCGCCATAGAAAAGATTATAGCATTGGCTGCACGTGCCCAGGCCTGCTAGGGAGAACCTTGAGCCGACGCCAATGCCACAGTATTATAATCGAAACGAAAAACAAATTTATTTTATACAGTAAGCAGTGAGAGAAAATGCTGCATTTTGCAATAGTATTATAGGTATGCCGCAACAAGGAACTTCAAGATTTTCATTATTATTTTGCACGTGTTTGTAGCTTGTTTAGTAAAAAGTCTCAAATTAAATTAGGGAAATTTAGTTTGATTGAAAAAGATGAAAGTTAAAAGAAGCCAAAATTGTGCAGTTTGGCAACGTTGAATTTGCTGCGCATAATTGAAGTGATGATGCGAGTTCGCGTCCTTTTCTTGTGCGCAGTAAAGCCAATGTTGCCAAACTGCACAATAAACCTAATCTAATCCTCTACAAATTTGAGTGAATCTAAGCAAAAATTGATGATTTTAAGTATGTCTGGAAAAAAACAAATTTCAAATACCAAAAATACATTCCAATATAGTTTTTGAATCAAATGTAGCAGATCATTATACAGGGTGGTCCATTTAACTTGAAACACTCCAAGATCCGATAATAATTAAAATATGAACTATCATAAGTAGTAGCTACCACAATTTAAACGAAAATGCAATATGAATGTGATGTGACACTTGCAAAGCAAAATTCGAAGGAAAAGGCAATATGAATGTGACACTTGCAAAGCAAAATTTGTAGAAGTTCTACTTAGAAAATCTCAAATTTCTTCTGGCTTTAATCAAGTACCAAGTAAAATTTCCATTTGTTACATCAGGTTTCCAAGGGTGATCAAGAGTCGGTAATAATCAAAATAATAACTATCATAAGTAGTGACACAATTTAAACAAAAATGCAATATGAATGTGATGTGACACTTGCAAAGCAAAATTTGTACAACTTCTACTTGGAAAATCTCAAATTTCTTCTTGCTTTAATAAAGTACCAAATAAAATTTCCATTTGTTACATCATTTTTCCAAGGGTGATCAAGAGCCGATAATAATCAAAATATGAACTATCATAAGTAGTGACACAATTTAATAATTTCTACTTGCTCAAAGTGGCTTCAGGATTTACTGAGTAGCATCTTTGTATCAAACAAAACAAATTTGGAGTAGATTTGAGGCTTAGAAAGAAAATTATGATGTCTTTTCCACACTAATACAAAACGAACTTGGAAAAATCTTAATAAATAACCTTGTGAAATATACTTTCAGTACTCAGAGCAACTTCAAACTTTCAAGGTTTATAAATAAGTAAGAGCTTTTTTATTGGAAAAAACAAATTGGAAGTGGATCTGACAGAAATAGAATTATTATGATTCTCTTTTCAAAAAATGGGGTTTGAGACAATGAAAAACCTCTCATAGTAAATTGTTGCTTCAAAATTTTGCTCAAAAACCGTTTCTAGATTTTAATTTTCATTTAAATAGTGATAGTTACAAGAAGGTTTTAAGCCTTAGTAGAAATCTCTCTGAGAAGTTGAAAAATAATCAAAATTTTACTAAAAATACCTTTCATTCACCTTCGAAAAGCTCTTGACCGTCCAGCGACCTCTCAAATCTCGAAAAATATTTTTCTATACAAAAAACGCAAACATATCTAATATAGCAACAATTGTCTAGAGCTATAATTAGCAACAGCGCGATGCAAAATCGGGTAATCAACCTCCGAATCGCTATACATTCAGGTGACTTTGACTTTGTTTACAATATAATTTTTAGCGAGGTCAGGATTTTTTTTTTTGCACTTACCGCATGCAATTTTTCCAAAGCCAGAATGATTTCTCCTATGTAGATTCGGACTTCTTCTTCTGTGAAATGTTCACGTTGGTACAGGTGAGTGAATAGTTCTCCTCCTGCTACATAATCTGGAAAAAAAGAATTATTCATAATTTTAATACCATTCACAAATTATCATTTATTGAAATTATTATTAAATCAAAAACGCTAAAAGAGAAAGTGTCTGAAAGTGTTTCTCCACTTTCACTATGTTGAAGAATTTGTTCACCCAAGACTTGCCAATAAGAATATTATGAAATTGTATGGTTTTTTTTTTTTGCATGGACTAATTTACTTTTTCAATTAGTTTGTTACACAAAAATGACCCAAAATCAACTTCATATAGTTCCGGGTATAAAGCTTGATAAGGGGAATTCAAACAGCAAAACAGCAAATTCAAATGTAGGTAGGTATTTCCCAGAGAGATCCGCGATAATAACACATTTTAATAGAGTGCAGCATAAAATTTGCAATAAATTCTAAACGAAATGGTTCGCGTCTGTTCTGTTTCTTCATCGCCACACAGTTGGCTCAAAATATTTTTCAGATGACTAATAAAGGACTTGTGTGGACCTTTCATTGAATCGTTTATTGTATGTGTGTGAAAACTCTTCATAATGTTGAATTTTGATCAACTTTCAGGAGAAACTATGTGTGAATTGATTTGATCAGTTTCAATGATCATTTTTTAATTATTAACGGAACTATGAGGTAAAAACTGTCTCAGTGTCATTTTTGGGAAATTTTCAATGTTCGATAATTTCAATTTTAAAGCTTCCCAGCTACAAAACTGTTGAAACTAAATAAAAATCTTGATTAACAGGTTTGTAGAGAATTTGATTGGCTTTAATTAGAGCTTAATTACATTAGAATCAGATGAAAATTAACGGAGCTGTGAGACAAAAAGTGTCTTAATGTCATTTTTGGAAAAAAGAATTACACTGACTCTCTGCACTAACTTACAGTGGATTCAGTTAAGAGAAGACATTACTGTATTAATAACTAACTGTATTGATTCTATACTAATTGCACTGACTTTGTACCAACTGCACTGACTTTATATTGACTCTGTACTAACTGCACTGACTCTACACTGACTCTGTTCTAATTGTACCAACTTTGTATCAACTATAAGGGTATGTGCATATTCTGTGAATAAAAAAGTCATTTTTTAAAGTTTTTCCCAAAACGATTTGGTTTTTGCACTGACTTTGTACCAACTGCACTGACTTTTTATTGACTATTACTTGCACTGACTCTACACTAACTCCAAGGGAAAATTATCACATTTTTAGGAGAGAAGGAAGAGAATTAGGAGCTCATCATACTAAAATTTCAAATTTTTCCAGTGAAAAATAACGACATGAAAAACCAATGAAAATCAACTTGCAAAATCCAAATTAAGCAAAAATGCATTCTCTTACATTTTATTTTTTTCTCTGAGAAACTATCCAAAGGAAAATTATGACATTTCTAGGAGAGAAATTTCAATTTTTTCCAATTAAAGATAACGACATGGGAAATTAATGGAAATCAACTTTCAAAATCCAAATTAAGCAAAAATGCATTCTCTTACATTTTATTTTTCTTCTGGAAAACTATCCAAGGGAAAATTATGACATTTCTAGGAGAGATAGAGGAGAGTTAGGAGCTCATCATACTAAAATTTCAAATTTTTCCAGTGAAAAATAACGACATGGGGAAATAATGAAAATTAACTTTTAAAATCCAAATAAGGCAAAAATGCATTCTCTTCCATTTTATTTTTCTTCTGGAAAACTATCAAAGAGAAAATTATGACATTTTTAGGAGAGAAAAAGGAGAGTTAGGAGCTCATCATAGTAAAATTTCAAATTTTTCCAGTGAAAAATAACGACATGGGAAATTAATGGAAATCAACTTTCAAAATCCAAATTAAGCAAAAATGCATTCTCTTACATTTTATTTTTCTTCTGGAAAACTATCCAAGGGAAAATTATGACATTTCTAGGAGAGAAAGAGGAGAGTTAGGAGCTCATCATACTAAAATTTCAAATTTTTCCAGTGAAAAATAACGACATGGGGAAATAATGAAAATTAACTTTTAAAATCCAAATAAGGCAAAAATGCATTCTCTTCCATTTTATTTTTCTTCTGGAAAACTATCAAAGAGAAAATTATGACATTTCTAGGAGAGAAAAAGGAGAGTTAGGAGCTCATCATAATAAAATTTCAAATTTTTCCAGTGAAAAATAACGACATGGGAAATTAATGAAAATCAACTTTCAAAATCCAAATTAAGCAAAAATGCATTCTCTTACATTTTATTTTTCTTCTGGAAAACTATCCAAGGGAAAATTATGACATTTCTAGGAGAGAAAGAGGAGAGTTAGGAGCTCATGATACTAAAATTTCAAATTTTTCTAGTGAAAAATAACGACATGGAAAAACAATGAAAATCAACTTGCAAAATCCAAATTAAGCAAAAATGCATTCTCTTACATTTTTTTTTCTGGAAAACTATCCAAGAGAAAATTATAACATTTCTAGGAGAGAAAGAGGAGACTTAGGAGCTCATCAAACTAAAATTACAAATTTCTTCAGTGAAAAATAACGACATAAAAAATCAATGAAAATCAAGTTGCCAAACCAAATTGAGCAAAAATGCATTCTCTTACATTCTCTTTTTTTCTGGAAAACTATCCAAGAGAAAATTATGACATTTCTAGGAGAGAAAGAGGAGACTTAGGAGCTCATCATAGTAAAATTTCAAATTTTTCCAGTGAAAAATAACGACATGGGAAATTAATGAAAATTAACGATTTTATTAAGCAAAAATGCATTCTCTTACAGTTTATTTCTCTTCTGGAAAACTACCCAAGGAAAATTATGACATTTCTAGGAGAGAAAGAAGAGAGTTACGAGCTCATCATACTAAAATTTCAAATTTCTCCAGTGAAAAATAACGACATAAAAAATCAATGAAAATCAAGTTGCCAAACCAAATTGAGCAAAAATGCATTTTCTTACATTCTCTTTTTTTCTGGAAAACTATCCAAGAGAAAATTATGACATTTCTAGGAGAGAAAGAGGAGACTTAGGAGCTCATCATAGTAAAATTTCAAATTTTTCCAGTGAAAAATAACGACATGGGAAATTAATGAAAATTAACGATTTTATTAAGCAAAAATGCATTCTCTTACAGTTTATTTTTCTTCTGGAAAACTACCCAAGGGAAAATTATGACATTTCTAGGAGAGAAAGAGGAGAGTTACGAGCTCATCATACTAAAATTTCAAATTTCTCCAGTGAAAAATAACGACATAAAAAATCAATGAAAATCAAGTTGCCAAACCAAATTGAGCAAAAATGCATTCTCTTACATTCTCTTTTTTTCTGGAAAACTATCCAAGAGAAAATTATGACATTTCTAGGAGAGAAAGAGGAGACTTAGGAGCTCATCATAGTAAAATTTCAAATTTTTCCAGTGAAAAATAACGACATGGGAAATTAATGAAAATTAACGATTTTATTAAGCAAAAATGCATTCTCTTACAGTTTATTTCTCTTCTGGAAAACTACCCAAGGGAAAATTATGACATTTCTAGGAGAGAAAGAGGAGAGTTACGAGCTCATCATACTAAAATTTCAAATTTCTCCAGTGAAAAATAACGACATAAAAAATCAATGAAAATCAAGTTGCCAAACCAAATTGAGCAAAAATGCATTCTCTTACATTCTCTTTTTTTCTGGAAAACTATCCAAGAGAAAATTATGACATTTCTAGGAGAGAAAGAGGAGACTTAGGAGCTCATCATAATAAAATTTCAAATTTTTCCAGTGAAAAATAACGACATGGGAAATTAATGAAAATTAACGATTTTATTAAGCAAAAATGCATTCTCTTACAGTTTATTTCTCTTCTGGAAAACTACCCAAGGGAAAATTATGACATTTCTAGGAGAGAAAGAGGAGAGTTACGAGCTCATCATACTAAAATTTCAAATTTCTCCAGTGAAAAATAACGACATAAAAAATCAATGAAAATCAAGTTGCCAAACCAAATTAAGCAAAAATGCATTCTTTTACATTGTATTTTTTTTTTGGAAAACTATCCAGGGGAAAATTATGACATATTTAAGAGAGAAAGAGGAGATTTAGGAGCTTATCATTAAAAATTTCAAACTTTTCCAGTGAAAAATAACAATATAGGAAATCAATGAAAATCAACTTGCAAAATCCAAATTAAGCAAAAATGAATTTTCTTACATTTTATTTTTTTCTGGAAAACTATCCAAGGAAAAATTATGACATTTCTAGGAGAGAAAGAGGAGAGTTAGGAGCTCATCATACTAAAATTGCAAACTGGTCCAGTGAAAAATAACGACATAGGAAATCAATGAAAATCAACTTACAAAATCCAAATTAAGCAAAAATGCATTATCTTACATTATTTTTTTTTTGGAAAACTATCCGAGGGAAAATTATGAAATTTCTAGGAGAGAAAGAGGAGAGTTAGGAGCTCATCATCCTAAAATTTCAAACTTTTCCAGTAAAAAATAACGACATGGGAAATCAATGAAAGTCGATTTTCTACTTTTTCCTTAACAAGTGGCAATTTGCGAATTGTATAACTCTGAAACAGTATTCGTTGATCTTTTCTATGGTTTTACCATAATTTTTCATAGACTCATTTAAAAATCACTTAGTCAACTTACCAATCAAGCCTCGGGTATTTTGGGTTTCAACATTTACTTAGAAAACTAAATGAGGTACCTAGTGATAATCAAAAAACTGGGGTACCTATCAGTAATGACCCGAATTAGCTTTAACTATCAGTTAAAAATGTCATTATTGACTTAGAATCCACAGACAAACTCTTACCTAAAATTAAATGTAATTTGGCATCGGTCTGGAAGGCGTAGTGAAGGGTGACCAGAAACGGATTATCTCTGACCGCTTCTAAAACTTGTCTTTCGGTTTTCGTATGCTCAGTAGTCTTTTTCTTTTGCACTATCGTCGCTTTTTTGAGCACTTTCATTGCGTAGAGCCGACCATCATCCGATCCTCCACGTTTTCTTACTAGGAACACTTTACCATATGCTGAAACAAACAAATGAACTTTCGAAAACATTTCAAATTTTGAATATATATGGCAAATTGACCTCAACAGTACCATATATGTATAATAAAGTACTTAGATGAGGGAAAAAAAATAGCATCAAACAACTGTTACGGCAGACTGACGCCAAGAGTAGGATAAATATGGCGCTGGGTACCGCCAAGTCGCGTTGGTAATCGTACCAGGAAGCGGGAATCGCTTTTTTAAAAGTTGGTACTGATTTAAATTTTTAATTTCGGAATAATGCGTGGAATCGAGGCTAGACTTTATAGACCAATGAATTTCATTTTCTGACATGTCTGGGACTATTTGAATCTTCACAGCTTAATCCAACTTTAGTCTTAAGCCAATTTACTATGATTTTAGTCACATCCTGTATTTTCTTGAATTTCTAAAATGACTCATTTTTATCCTGTCTTGTAAATTTCAACAACCACAAACAGCTGTTTGGACACAGGAAGACCCAAAAACTAAAATTAGAAATACACAAGATAGAATGATAATGCAAAAACTAATAATCCGATAATACAAAAGATCAAGTGCCTTGTGCCAAATAATCTGCCTTGTTCTAACAAAGGCTTTGTAGCGCAATATAAGCATTGGGCAATTTACCAAAGGTCGCTGCTACCTCCATATATTGTTTATATTTAGCCCCACGATTTTTTTCAATAATAATTTCAAAAAAAAAGAAATAACAATTAAAGGTCACCGATAATATTTTGACGATGAGACAAAACAATAAGGCCTTGTTTTTTTTTTTTCAAAAACATCTTATCAATGTCATTTCCTTTTTCGGCTGGACGATAACCTTAACTTGAGGAAAATTGTTCAGGAAAATTATTGCGACAAGGCAATTTATGCGTGAAACGTATACTTTCTACTTATAATTAATTATAATAACACGCAGTAAATGTGCGTAAATGCGTGAAGCTTTGTTTTGAAATTTTCTTGTAAGTGGCTTGTTCTCACAAAAAAAAAAAATAATTGGAATTTTAGTTACCCAATACTCAATTTGTTTGATATCTGAATACATATAAAGAAATGAGACTTGAGATTCTAGATCTCTAAAGATTTTGCAGTCATTTATTTGTTGAAGATCCAACAATGAAGACCCATATTAATTCTAGACTTGAATCTATAAAGATTCAAATTCTGGATATCAACTATTCAAAGAATCAAGGTTTATTGAAGAGACAAAGATTCAAAAATTTTTTGATGTTTCTGTAGGCTTTTAACTCATTTTTTAGGAATTCAAAATGTAAACCTAAAAACTCTGAAACTGAAACCTTTCAGCAGGAATAATGAAAGACTCAAGACTGCGATATTCCTAAAGACTTAGAATGTTCTCAAGCCTCATGATTTCAGAATGAAAGATACTTAAGCTTTTGAAGATTCTGCATAATTATTCTAAAGATTTTAATCAAGCAAGACTAAAGAACCTATTTAACCCAAGAATATTTGCTGCTGAATATTTTTTAGAGACTTGGAATAAGACTGCTAACTATTGACTTGATAGGAAACTGAAATGGATTGAAAACTAAAGTTGCAACCATGTAAAAATTTAATAATTTAAATAATTGAGCTAGCAACTAAGACCTTAAAGTTTCCTGAATCATTAAGCAACAACGACGTTAGGGGTACTTTAATAAACGAAGGGTTAGAATGAAGGAAACACAAGGGTGAAACCACACAAGTAAGACGGAATTCCTTTGCAAGCACAAAGAGTATATAACAGCTGAGATGAAAGAGTCCGTGAAAAGGGCAATGAACGTGCTTATGCTTAGACCGACTCAACACACACAGAGATAATACACTTGATGGCAAGTAACGCTAATAATGTTGCTTAATCGCCGCCTTTTGGGAAGTAGCTAATAAGGAGTTCGTTGAACACTTTTTACAGTTTGGCCAAAACGACCTTCCTCGTAGTAAGTGTGGAAGGTCAACCCAAAATCAGCTGCTTTCATAGTGAAAACTTTCTAAATAAATAATTATTATTGGGTTGGGTGTGTATTCGAGCACGCATTCAATGGTTGTATATGGCCCATGACCTAACATTGGCACACTTTTTAATGTCGTCATTTCGCGACATGTCTACCGTTGTTACGTCAGAAAATTTTATATATTGTTGTTGAGTCAAACGTATATAATATTATTTTTTAAGCTGTTCGACGTCAGAGGTTTTGTGGTACCTACGCAATCAAGCACGCGGACATTGGATATATTTTGATTTGATAACAACAACTCAATTATTTGTCCATGTGTTTTGAAAAACAACATGGTTTTTCATCGAGATCTGGGAGACGATTAAAAAAGAAACATTTCGTAGATGTTTTTCGGTAGACTACATACATTTTTGAATTAATCAATATGTCAAGTTCAGCAAACTTAAAAAAAACACTTGTAAAGATAAGAAAATGTTGGTTCAAAACAGGGAAAAAATAGCTACTGAAATAAAACATAAAAACAAATTTGGTGCAGAGGAATAAATACCAAAGAAAAATGGAAAAGGAATAGTTTACATAGGTACCTAAAAGCATGTGGGATTCCCTGTAATTTGAGTGGGATTTCAATAAACCTCATCCAAAATAACTTTACAACAACCAAACTACCTTTTGATTGTCGAAACATTGACATAACATTTAGAGGAATTTCTCATTCATTCTAGTGTGTGTGTGTGTACAGTCCAAATGATTCCCTGCCAAAAGATGATCTAAAACTCTTCACAACCTTACTACCAACTACCAAAATCCTATCATAGCTGGTGACTTTCCCAGATTTTCATGGCTATTGACAAACTTTGTCACTGATAGATCTAGGGATGGGGCAGCTGTTTTAGGAAAAACTCTTTAAAGATTTTTTTCAAAGGTTTGTGATCTATCATAGGAGTGAAATGTCGTCTATGGAGATAGAGATGAAATCTTGTCACTGCAAATATTAAACTAAGTGTCGTTCTTGGACTAAATCAACTTTGAAGCTGAATTACTCAAAAAATTTTGAGCTATTAAACTCAATTTTGCATGGATCTATAGAGAATTTATTGCTCTTTCCAATGATATATAATTTATTCTAATTTGCTCAAAATTTACCAAAGATATGGGCAATTGCTCATGACTATGTCAAGATTTTGAAAATAGGATTTTCTTTTTAATTTTGTTTCAGCTTAAAATGGCCCTTTGGAAATCATGTCAGAATTGTTATTCAATAATTTTGATACGATATATCGATTGTTAAAGTCAAAATTAAACAAAAGTAAAAAATAAAAAAATCGAGTTTATTGTAACCCCTTTGAATTTCAATTCCAAAATTTGCAAACATTAATTGCTCGGTAACCATTGGGCAAATTACATTGAAGTTTTCAGCATTTGTAGCTTTTATCAAGCTCTAAATGGCTTGTGAATTACAGTATTCCTAGGTTTATAGTTTTTGAGCAAATTAAGTTTGAAGTTTTTGACAAAGTTCGGACTAAAAGTCAACTTTGAGGCTCAATTGCTCAAAAGCTATTTGAGCTAATTAACTCAATTTTGCGCGGATTTATAGAGAATTTAATGCTCTTTCCAACCATATATAATTTATTTCGATTTACTCAAAATTTAACAAAGATATGGGTAATTGCTCATGACCATGTCAAGATTTTGAAAATTTTCCAGAGCCAAAAATAGGATTTCCGAGAGGATTTCCTTTTTAATTTTTTTTCCAGCTTAAAATAGCCATTTAAGAATCATGTCAAGGTTGTTTTCCACTAATTTCGACCCACTCTATCGAATGGTGAAGTCAAAATTGAGCAAAACTGAAAAATAAAAAAATCGAGTTTTCATAAGGGTACCCCCTTTGAATTTTAATTCCAAAATCTTCAAACCTCAATTACTCGGTAACCATTGGGCAAAGTGCATTGAAATTTTCAGCATTTGTAGCTCTTATCAAGCTCCAAATGGCCTGTGATTCACAATATTCCTAGGTTTATAGTTTTTGAGCAAATTAAGTTTGAAGTTTTAGACAAAATTCGAACCAAAAGTCAACTTTGCGGCTCAATTGCTCAAAAACTATTTGAGCTATTAAATTCAATTTTGCACGGATTTATAGAGAATTTATTGCTCTTTCCGATGATATATAATTTATTCCAATTTGCTTGAAATGTAACAAAGATATGGACAATTGTTCATGACCCTGTCAAGAGTTTGAAAATTTTCCAAAAGTAAGATTTTCTCCTTATTTTTGTATCTGCTTTAAATTACCATTTGGTAATGATGTCAGGGTTGTTTTCCACTAATTCTAACCCACTCTATCGATTGGTAAAGTCAAAATTGAGCAAAACTGAAAAATTAAAAAATCGAGTTTTTATAAGTAGGTACCCTTTGAATTTTAATTCCAAAACCTTCAAACCTCATTTTCCCATTAATCGTTGGGCAAAATGAGTTAAAATGTTCAGCATTTGTAGCTCTTATTAAGCTCTAAAAAACCTGTAATTTACAATATTCCCAGGTTTACAGTTTTTAGGAAAATTGACATTGAAGTTTTTGACAAAATTTGGACTAAAAGTTAACTTTGAGGCTCGATTGCTCAGGAACTATTTACACTAGCAAACTCAATTTAAAGCAGATTTATAGAGAATTTAAAGCAGATTTATAGAGAATTTAATGCTCTTTTCAATGATATGTAATTTATTTCAATTTGTTCTAAGTTTAACAAAGATATAGGCAATTGCACATGACCATGTCAAGATTTTAAAAATTTCTAAAGCTAAAACTAAGATTCTCTTTTTGATTTTTTTTGCGTGATAAAAAGGCTATTTGAAAATGATGTCAGAGTTGTGTTCCACTAATTCCGACCCGCTCTATCGATTGCGGAAGTCAAAATTGAGCAAAACTGGAAAATTGAAAAATCGACTTTTTTTATAAGGGGTACCCCTTTGAATTTTAATTCCAAAATCTTCAAACCTCATTTTCCCATTAATCGTTGGGCAAAATGAGTTAAAATTTTCAGC